CAAGCAGGACACCAGGACCTTTTTCCTTTTTTCCTTATTTTTTTGTTGTTTTTTTCCCTGTTTTCCTTTTTTCCCTTTTCCCCCCCTTTTCCCGTTCTCCCCCTTTTTTTCTTTTTTCCCTTTTTTCTCCCCTTTTCCCCCTTTCCCCCCTTTTCCCCTTTTTTCCCTTTTCCCCCCTTTTGCTGTTTTCCCCCTTTTTCCCTCCTTTTCCTCCTTTTTCCCCCTTTCCCCCTTTTTTCCTTTTTCTCCTTTCCCCCCCTTTCTCCCCCCTATTTCCCCCATTTTTCCCATTTTCCCCCATTTTCCTCCCTTTTTCCCCCTTTTCCCCATTCCTTTCCCCCTTCTTTTCTGCCTTCTTTCCCCCCTTCCTTTTTCCCCTTCCTTTCCCCTTCCTTTTCCCTTTTTTCCTTTTCCCTCCCCATTTGCTTGGGTATTTTGAGGTCTTTATCAGGAATCTGTCAGTACTCTTTCCTCCTCTTTTCCCCCTTTGGATTTGCCCTCAGACTCTGTAGATTAGAGCATCCCTGGGGTTGATTTCATTCCCAGGGCAGGACACGGAAGCACCATCCCTGTGGGACCCCACATGATTTGATGCTCTGAGCTCCACCAGCTCTTCTTAGGGGTGCTGTGGCCACTGGAAATCTCCCACCCCCCTTTCCCCTCCAGAGAATGTATTTTTGGGATCTGTTTCAGCCCTGACCCGTGCCAGGGTGTGAGGGAAAGCTGCTGGCAGGCTCAGGGCTTGCCCTGAATTCCCTCAGGGATCCCACCTCAAACAAGCCCAGTGGATGTTCTGTCCTGCTGAATCCATCTGGGGTGTGTGCTGCAGACATGGAGCATCCCTAAGGAAGGAGAGGAGAGGCCCAGAGCTTCCTTTTCCTTTTCTAAACAGGGAATTCACAGCTGGGGAATCCTTCACCTCCCTGGGAAACTTCCCCTGCCAAGGCTTTGTGTGTGAGCTGGGATGTGGAGCTGTCACTGCTGGAGCTCAGGGTCATTTGCTGGGCTGACCTCAGTGCATCAGAGCAAGGAAACTCTTTTTGTGCAGTGAGGGCCCCATGGCACGGCAGGGCGGGCTCTGGACCGCTGGGTTTGCAGCTGGAGCAGCCTGGGGTGGGCTGGGGATGCTGCAGGGAGTCCCTGTGGGGCTGCCGAGGTGCCAGGGGACCTCCCCTCCTTGTCCCCACCTGCCCCGTGTCCTTTTCCAGGAGGAATCCCCTGCTCTGGTCAGGGCCCTGGCACAGGAGGGACAGAGCCCCCTTGGCAGGTGCCACCCCCTGTCACAGACACATTTGATGAAAAATCCTTGTGCCAGGACTTTTTCTCCTGAGAAGCTGAGAGACCTCAGAAATGAAATATAAACAATAATTATCTGCTGCTGTGGGATGTGGCAGGTGCATCTTTGATTTGGTCTCATGTGAATTGTTTCTACTTGATGACCAATCCCAGTCCAGCTGTGTTGGGCCTATGCTCAGTCACAAGATTTTATCATCATTCTTTTCCTTTCAAGCCTTCTGATGAAATCCTTGTTTTCTATTCTTTAGTATAGTTTTAATATATAAATCTATAATCTATAATCTATAATCTATGATATATGATATATGATATATGATATATGATATATAATATACAATATATAATATGTAATATAATATATAATACATAATATAGAATATAGAATATATAATATATTATATATTATATATTATATTTTTATATTATGTATTACATATTACATATTATTAATATATAAAAGAAATATATTAATATAAAATAATTATAAAATAAATATATATTTTATATATCATTTAATATATTATTTTTATATAATATGTATTTTTATATAAATAATAATTATAAAATATATTTATAATACATAAATATATCATATAAAAATATATATGATATATTTATATATAAAATATATTTAAATATATATTTATAATAATATATATAAATGTATAAATATATACAATAAATATGTAATATATAATAAAATAATAATAATTAGCCTTTTGAAACATGGAGTGAAGATTCTCATCTCTTTCTCGTTTTGGGGACCCTCAAACACCCCCACAAGCCCCAGCTGTGCTGCTGCTGCTGTGTCTGTGCTGAGCTCCAGGCAGCCTGGCTGCCTTCAAGCAGTTTAAAGCTCTCACTTTCCAGCAGGATTTAAGTCAGCTACTTAACCCACCTCATCCTCTTTCACTCTTTAATGCTCTGTGTTTCAGCTGCTCGGGCTCCAAGCAGGGTTTGTGAGCAGCCACAGACACACACAGGAAGCAAACCCTTTATTTGAAGTATTTTTGCTGGCCAAAAGCAGGATTGTGGCTTCTGTCTCGTGGTTTGAGCTCGGTGTTCAGCTTGGTGGAGTGTTCCTGTTTGGTGCTGTGCCATAGGAGAGTGCTGGGAGCTGCTGTGCTCAGGCTTCAGCTGAAACCTCAAATCTGGGAGCTCAGAGCTGCTCACATTTACTGCAGGCACCTAAAGCAGTTTGAGCCTCAGTGCTGTGGTTTTCCCAGCTGCCTGATGAGGTGCTGGGTTTAGCCCAGTCATCAAAATGAACAAATGAAAACAATCCCAGGCTGCTCCCAGCCCTGCCCAGCCTGGCCTTGGGCACTGCCAGGGATCCAGGGTGGGCACCCTGTGCCAGGGCCTGCCCACCCTCACAGGGAACAATTCCCAATTCCCAATATCCCATCCAGCCCTGCCCTCTGGCAGTGGGAGCCATTCCCTGTGTCCTGTCCCTCCATCCCTTGTCCCCAGTCCCTCTGCAGCTCTCCTGGAGCCCCTTCAGGCCCTGGCAGGGGCTCTGAGGTGTCCCTGGAGCTTCTCCTCTCCAGGTGAGCACCCCCAGCTCTGCCAGCCTGGCTCCAGAGCAGAGGGGCTCCACCTCCATTGCTGGGTGATGCTTGGTGAGAGGAGCAGTCCAGGCACAGCAAATATTCTTGTTTTCTGTCTGTGGGTTCTTTGAAGTGTCAGCAGCCACTCACCTCAGCCTGGGGTGGTGTCTCAACTGGTAATGGTGATTTTAAGCCTGGCCAGCAAATCCAGGCAGGTTTGGATCAGCACATACTGATCCAGCCTCTTCACTGTGTGCCTTTTGTTGTTTGCATCCATGATGTCTGGGTTGGGAATTTTCAGAACCGTTTCCTCTCGTTTCCCCCTGCCCACAGCCCAAATTAAATACATTTCTATTGTTTCTCTTTTGCATAGAGCAGATACCTCTCTGTGTGTCCTGCTGAGCTCTGGGTGGGTGCCCTGCTCTGCCATTGGCACCAGGGTCTGAAGCCCCCTGTGGTCCTGAGGAGCTGAAAACCACAGAAACTGTAATTTAGAGTGTGTCATGCTAATCCCTTATAGGCTTATCAAGTCTGATTAAATGTCACTTGCCCTTCTGTTATCTCTGTACACAGATAACAAATTAAGTGACAGCTTCATCCAGGCAGCTGCCAGATGCATTAACTGGAGCTGACACATTCCTACGAGTTGTTTTTATTAGTCTCAAATACCTTTGTTTAACATACAAGAAACCTGACTCAGCCAAGATGATGAGTGCCATGTGAGTTTAGGAGGTCTGTCTGCCAAAAAAGAGTGCTCTAGAAAACTGGAGAAGGTGTTTGTGTTGTCTTCTCCTATTCACTGAATCTCAGGTGAGCTTGGAAAGAGCTCTGAGATCATTGAGCCCTGAGGCTGCCAGAGCTCCAGGAGAGCTTGGACAATGATCTCAGGGATGCCCAGGGTGGGATTGTTGGGGGTCTGTGCAGGGCTTGGACTGGATGATCCCTGTGAGACCCTTCCCACTCAGCATAGTCTGTGATTCCATGTTTTATGGTCTCAGCCCTGTGGGTTGCTCCATGCCAGCAGAATTTTAGCTGTTCCTGTGGCAATGTGGGATGACCAAAGCACGTGGAGCCGTGGGTGAGCAGCTCTGAGTGTGCTCTAGATGTGATTTTCCTATAGAAACACATAGGTGGCTTTCAGAAAACCTAAAATAGCTCAAACCACTCCCCAGTGCTGCTGCAGGGTGAGCAGGGCAGCTCTGAGCTCCCTGGGCTGAGTCTCCTGTGAGACCTGTGTGAAAGGAGAGCTTTGGTGATTCACCAGCTCCTTCCCCAAGAACAAACTGAAACCCCACACTGAAACTGCACAAATGCAGCCCTGGAGACTCCTTCCTGTGCATGAGGAAGAGGAGGAGGAGGAAGATGTGTGTGGCAGGTGAGGGCAGGTCTGCAGTATGGAGCTCACCTCTCTCGCCCCACCAGCTCCCTCCTGGGATTGTTCCTCAGCTGCAAAAATAGACAAAGGTGCCTCAAAAGCTCTTAAAACGAGGATAAATGTCTGGTTGAGTTTGAGAAGCATCTGGTGACAAGGATTTTCTGCTCATGGCAGAAGGAAGGAACCAAATGCACCTTTTGGAGACCCTTTGGGCCCTGTGGTTCTGCCCTTTTCCCATTGTCTTTGAACAGCCCAGAGCATCCTCAGAGTGCCCCTTGCTGCAGCACCCCCATCCCAGCCCTGGCCTGATGTGATTCCCCTCCCCCCCAGGCATTGTCTAATTGGGAAAATGTTTCAATTATACGGCCTAAATTTGTAACATGGAGCAGTTCATTACCACCAAATCCCCTTAATTGGGCCCTCCTACCAGGCAGCCTATTACAGAGTTTCCCAATTAAGACAGGACCTCTTTAAAACCCATAAAAATAAACAAATCCCTGGCAAAGCAGGTCCATGTTACAGGAGACACTGCCTGAAATGCTGCTTCAAGGCTAAACAATACTTTCAACACCAACCAAGTCCTAATTAACCCCTTTGTTCTGATTACTTATGTTCCCTTCAAGGAGAGCAGGCACAGTTTGGGGTTAGCTCAAGAAACTCACTGTTATTTTCTGAAATCTTTCTGATAAACAGGAAAAGGTTGGTTGCAAGGTGTTTGTGTGCTGGGAGCTGCTGTTTCCTGCAAGGATTCCATAGGTAACTCTGCTTTCTTTTGGTTGCAGGTAAAGGACCTAACAAAATACCTGGATCCCAGTGGGTTGGGAGTTATCAGCTTTGAAGATTTCCATCGGGGCATCAGAGCCATCAGAAATGGAGGTGAGTGTCCTGCTGTGCTCTGAGTGAGGATGGGAACTGGCCAAATTTAACACCATGGATGAGCTGAGAAGATTGTTCAAATAGAAGGAAAACCACAGGGAAAACCATCTGGGTTTGGTTTTCTGAGTTCCTGCTCTGTGTTGGGTGGAGAGGTTGGGGGCATTTAATAGGGTTGAAAAAGGTGATACAGCAGTTGTGGTGGTTCTGTGTTTTGTTGTTAATCAGGAAAGTTTCTTCCTACAAAGAAACATCACTGGGAAATCATTTCCTTCTGGTTTGGTGTCTGTCACCTGTGGTTTTGAGGGTTCTTGCTCTGGTGGAGTGGCTGCCATGCTGCTGGAGGTGTCTGTGAGCTGCTGGCTGTGACATCTTCCCAACACTGGCACTGAGAATGGAATGGTTTGGGTTGGAAGGGCCTTAACTCTCATCTCATACCATCCATGGGCAGGGCATCTTCCACTGGAATGGGAATTACCATGCATTTACCAATTTACTGATGAATTTACCAATTAATTTACAACCTTCACTCCAAGTGTTTGGAGGATCAACATGCTCAGATGGTTTTTAGCAAGCAGCACATGAAACCAGAGCTTTGAACTCCCTGGCTGGGGTCAGGATGATCTTCCAGCAGGCAATGCCAATCCCCACCTGGCTCCTGAGGGATTCCTGCAAGTGCTTCCAGAGCAGTAGCTTGGTGAAGTGTGAAGTATCTTTCTGGCTGGTTGCCATTTGAACCCCTTTACTGCAGAAAAGGGGGTTTTTTTTCAGTTGTTTTTTCAATTTGGGATTTCTCTCAGAGTGTCAGAGGGTCATTTTGGGCCAGGCAGGGTGTGAGAAATCTGGGAATCTCTTTCTGAGCAGCTGGAGTTCTGAATGTGCAAATGTGAATTCTCATCCTTGCACAACAGTCAGCTCTGCTCAGGGATGCTTATCTGGGATTCCAGCCCTGCCCATGGACTGTGCTGCAAGGGTGGCAAAGAACCATCCTTGCCTTACAAACTCTGCTGTTCCAGGAGTAAAAACCCCTCAAAGCAAAGGTTTCTCCTGTTCTTCTGTCAGTTTTCCATCCTTCCTCTTTCTCCCACGTTCCGCCCCCACTTTATTTATTTATTTATTTATTTATTTATTTATTGCAAGGGTGGGCAGGCCCTGGCACAGGGTGGGCAGACCCTGGCACAGGGTGCCCAGAGCATGATTTGGGTTGGATGTCCCTGGATCCCTGGCAGTGCCCAAGGCCAGGCTGGACAGGGATTGGAGCAGCCTGGGACTAATGGAAGGTGTTGGAGTTGGAATGGGATTGAAAAATCGCCCAAAATGGAGTAAGGGGTGCCCAAATACTGCAAAAATGCAGCTGCAGAAAAGGTGATTGTGGGACTGGGACCCTCCAGATCCTGGGCTCTCTTAGTTAGAACCCTGGAAACACAGAATATCCTGAGCTGGGAAGGACTGAGGGCAGCACCCAGTCCCACTCCTGCCCTGCACAGACCCCCCAACAATCCCACCCTGGCAGTGCTGTCCAAACCCTTGGAGCTTTGAGCTCCCTTCCCACCCAAACCCCTCCAGGATGATTTGAGCTGCAGTGTTTTATGGCAGCTCCCAAGTTTCCTGAGCAATTCCCAGCTGCCAGGAAGCAGGAGGAGCTGCAGCACACTATTAATTTGTAATAAATTGCCATTGGAGTAGAGCATTTGTGAAAGGCCAGGCTCGTGTTTCTCCTCAATAATTCATCACTTTGGTGTTGTGTTCTATTAATTGAATGGGAAAAGCAGATCCAGGCAAAGCTTTTAGGGGCTCTATTTATTAAATTTGAAAGAGATTGATATGTGTTTATTACCGTGGTTAGGAAGGGCTGAGCTCTCTAACAACACATGGCATTAAATGGTTATAAAAGAAGCCCAGGGCAGGGAGCAGAGCAGGTTCTTTTTTTCCCAACTGAGCATTGCTCACATTGAAGCCACCTGAAGGATTTGCTGCTGTTTTTTAGACAGTCAATATTGACCATCCCTTTGTAACCAAAGCAGAGGTCATGCTGCTGCTGGGTGTGCCTTTTAACAAGGTTTGTTAATTAGCTGGGCCTATTTTTAGTCAGGGAATGCTCTGCTGGATTTCTTGGCGCTCTGAAATTCTTGGGTCAGTTATAGAAGAGAGAGATGGTGTCAGCTGGGACCTTTTGGTGAAGTCCTCACCTTTTGGTGGCTGTGTTAATGCAGGGTTTATTTTTGAGGATGTCCCACTCTTCTCTGCCTCTCTTCTGTCTGGGAGGAGATTTCCTGGGATTTGCTTGGAGTCTGACAAACTGAAGGTGCAGTTACAAACCCAGCCAAATTTCCTCTGTCAGCTGCATTTCTCACAACTGCTTCATGTCCACTTGGCCTTTCCATGCAGGATGCTGAGCTGTCTGTCTGTCCCTGTGCCAGGGCCTGTCCCACTGCCCTCCAGCCCTCACACAAAGCCCCAGGGCCAGCTCTGTGTCTGCCTGGCCAGGTGATGCTGACTGAGAGGGGACAGAGCAGAGGAATTGGGATTTGGGGCTTTAAGGAGAGGTTTTAGGCCCTCCTGGCTGCCTCCTGCCCTCCCACAGTGAGGGTGGGATGGGAAAGCCTGGTTCTCCTGGATGTGGATTTTTGTAAGTTCTCATGGATGTAGATTTTATAGGTTCTCATGGATGTAGGTTCTCATGAATATAGGTTTTTGTAGGTTCTCGTGGGTGTAGTTTTTGTAGGTTCTCTTGAGTGTAGTTTTTTGTAAGTTCTCATGGATGTAGATTTTGTAGGTTCTCTTGAGTGTAGATTTTGTAGGTTCTCATGGATGTAGTTTTTTGTAGGTTTTTATGGATGTAGTTTTTGTAGGTTCTCATGGATGTAGGTTTTCATGGATGTAGTTTTTTTGTAGGTTCTCATGGATGTAGATTTTGTAGGTTTTCATGGATGTAGATTTTGTAGGTTTTCATGGGTGTAGGTTTTTGTAGGTTCTCATGGATGTAGGTTCTCGTGGATGTAGTTTTTTGTAGGTTTTCATGGGTATAGATTTTGTAAGTTCTCATGGATGTAGTTTTTTGTAGGTTTTCATGGATGTAGATTTTTGTAGGTTCCCATGGATGTAGGTTTTGTAGGTTCTCATGGATGTAGGTTCTCATGGATGTGGATTTTTGTAGGTTCTCATGGGTGTAGATTTTGTAGGTTCTCATGGATGTAGTTTTTTGTAGGTTCTCATGGATGTAGTTTTTTGTAGGTTCTCTTGAGTGTAGTTTTTATAGGTTCTCATGGATGTAGATTTTGTAGGTTCTCATGGGTGTAGTTTTTGTAGGTTCTCATGGATGTAGATTTTGTAGGTTCTCATGGATGTAGTTTTTTGTAGGTTCTCATGGATGTAGTTTTTTTGTAGGTTCTCATTGATGTAGTTTTTTTTAGGTTCTCATGGATATAGATTTTTGTAGGTTCTCATGGATGTAGGTTCTCATGGATGTAGTTTTTTGTATGTTCTCTTGAGTGTAGATTTTGTAGGTTCTCATGGATGTATTTTTTTGTAGGTTTTTATGGATGTAGTTTTTATAGGTTCTCATGGATGTAGGTTCTCATGGATGTAGTTTTTTTGTAGGCTCTCATGGGTGTAGTTTTTTGTTGGTTCTCATGGATGTGGATTTTTGTAGGTTCTCATGGGTGTAGATTTTATAGGTTGTTATGGATGTAGGTTCTCATGGATATAGGTTTTTGTAGGTTCTCATGGGTGTAGATTTTGTAGGTTTTCATGGGTGTAGTTTTTGTAGGTTCCCATGGATGTAGATTTTGTAGGTTCTCATGAATATAGTTTTTTGTAGGTTCTCATGGATGTAGTTTTTTGTAGGTTTTTATGGATATAGATTTTTGTAGGTTCTCGTGGATGTAGTTTTTATAGGTTCTCATGGATGTAGGTTCTCATGGGTGTAGATTTTGTAGGTTCTCATGGATGTAGTTTTTTGTAGGTTCTTATGGATGTAGTTTTTTTGTAGGTTCTCATGGATGTAGATTTTGTAGGTTCTCGTGGATGTAGGTTCTCATGGATGTAGTTTTTTGTAGGTTCTCATGGATATAGATTTTGTAGGTGCTCATGGATGTAGGTTCTCATGGATGTAGATTTTGTAGGTTCTCATGGATGTAGTTTTTTGTAGGTTTTTATTGATATAGATTTTTATAGGTTCTCATGGATGTAGGTTGTCATGGATGTAGTTTTTTGTAGGTTTTTATGGATGTAGTTTTTTGTAGGTTCTCATGGATGTAGCTTTTTGTAGGTTCTCTTGAGTGTAGATTTTGTAGGTTTTCATGGATATAGATTTTTGTAGGTTCTCATGGATGTAGGTTTTGTAGGTTCTCATGGGTGTAGATTTTGTTGGTTCTCATGGATGTAGGGGTTTTGTTATGCCTGCAG